GGTGGTTAACGTACAACCAACAGCGAAGTCCTTTACCTTGTCCATAATAACGACACACAGGTCGCTAAATGCGTCATTATGCCTGAACATCATGTGGAGCAGGAATTCAGTTGACATTATGAGCACTCCTGACCTGATTGTCACATTCGTGTCGCCGATTATGAGGACTACGTCTTCACCAAAATTCTGCCTAAAACGTGCAAACAACGCCCCAATAATAGATAAATCCTTGCATGTGCAACACGTTGCCTTGATTTACAGTTACATAAATCACATCGAAAGTGCGATGATTAACGTTAAAGCAACAGCAACCTCAACTCCTTCATTATGAAGAGACCAAGGTCACTGAGTTCTTAACCATTGCAGCAAATTGTGTTGAGTAGAATTTGAGTCGTCGCTTTATGATGAGTGTGACCTTGCCTGCCATGGCGCCCGATAGTTCAGGAAAAATGCAGCAGGCGACTTCGACATGGTCAATCGGCATGCGCAGGGTTGAATTGTACGCATTAATCAAGACACATTTTTTCACCATGTCGCATCGCGTCCGCCTCGATTATACTACCAGAAGCGGTGTTTAAATGCCATGACAGTGGAACTTCATGGGTACAAAGACGCACTTTAGGCTGTCTAGAAACAAAGCACACAAGGACAAGCATCAGTTCTTACTTCAATAGCTAGCGCGATATTGCCTTTGACGACTGGACAAAACGATGAACAAAGTTCTCTGAATGGTGGTTACAGCAGTATCGATGAAATCTTCATCCTGTTATGCTCACTCATGTCACGGTCTCTCCCATCTCTTCGCACATCGCGGACATTGTCGTAGGGTGGTTCATGATTCGACAAGGTGTATTTAGTGACAGGGAAAATCAGACGTGCTAAGAATTCAGCAAATTCAGGGTTTTGGCATGTGGTCACGGCGAAGAAATGTGTTTCTGGAATTATAAAGCTGTCCACATTGTCAACAGATGCTATTCCAATATCGAGTTTATTTTAAGCATCCTCAAGATCGTGTGCAGTCGCATGCCGCAAAATGTGGTATCAAGTAGATTACATGTGATATGCGTGCACATATAGCCAAAGAATAGATAGTGCAACATGTGCTAGTTTCGTCCAAAGCAGATAAGGTAAATCGCGCTAAATTCAGAAACCGATATTTCTACACTAACAGGACATGCGCCAAGCTTAGATGTCATGCATTTCAAGTGAAACCAGTTCTTGTTCACATGTTAGTCAACTGGATGGAGATGGAGATGACCTAGGATGTACTGCATCTAAAATGGACGCGCACCAACATTAACCAGTGCGTCAACTTGCCATGTTTGCTGCTTGTTGCGCGTTTCTATCGTGCGTGATTTTGGCAGTCGTCAAATCAAGTCCCTTCAACATCCAATATTCGCCAGTTTGTGGGGAGTCTTGATGGACGTGGAGGAGAGATTCTGCAGACACATGGTCAGCGTGTTTACTACAAGAAGGGGTCTTACGTTGTCCCCCAGGTAGGTGATATTCCGCTGTCGACGTGTAAGTTGTCCAACACCCAGTACGGTGTGTGAGCGCATTCGGAAGCAGTTGTACTAGGTCAATCAAAGTGGTGTATATCGCTTCCTTTTCGAGGCCTCTGTGTTCACTGAGAGTGGCGGGAAAATGCGCCTAAAATGCGAGTGATCAGATGAAACAAGAAATACCACCACATTGACAGTCAGTGCATTCGCTAGATTGACCGCACTGTTCTACGCACCTCATTATTGCCAACATGCATTCGGGTATTGGGGTGCACTTACCTTCCAACATTGACCGCAATCATTTCTGCTGTAAGAACGGCCAGATCCTGCCAGTCTTGCTTGTGGCTTAGTTCGATGGATGTTGGTGGTATTTGTCCACCGTCGGCATTTCCATCGCGGTCAGGCGCTTGAATACAACGGGCCTCGAATTGGTCTCTCACATCACTGAGCACATGGAGCGAGCTGTTGTGGGGTGGCACACTGCGCGAAAACATGTCTCTGGCATTGGTTGTTGTGTGCATTAGGGTTGGCAGTCGACAGCAACTTGCTGATTGGGAAAGTATTGTGATGGTGGAGTGCTGTATTTTTCACTGAAATGTCCGTTTATATAGATTCTGCCACTACTAATACCGCCAACATTTTAGGATATTTCCGACAATGCCTTTTGTGTGTAGCACGGTTAGCAGACGACGAGTAACAGGGGATTAGGAAAGCACTGCGATGTCGGATGTATCTGTTTTCTGTCGTTCCGTGTGCTGTAGGTTGTACTGTAAGCTGCTGAGTCTCTGATTTCCGGCATCCAATTTTCATCGCGGCAATGCAATCGAGCGTGTTGTGTGAAATTGTACGTCCTATTTTAGCAGGTTAATAACAAGGCATATGAGGGAAGATGAGCCGATATCAACGAAAAAAGCATGAAACACTACGAGCTAAACAACCCACCTTGTCCTAATTACAACATGGCATTTAGTGAGGAGAGGTGACTGTATATTCACTAGATTGACTGCACTGTTCTACGTACCTTAGTATTTCCGAACCGTCATTCGAGTATTAGAATGGACTTACTTTCCATCATTGATAATAATCATTTTTGACGTAAGAGCGGCCAATCTTGTTCCAATCTTGTTTGTTGCTAATTTCAAGACACAAATGTAT